GGGCTGCAAGAGATCCTCCTACCCTAGTCTCCTGAGCAGCTGGGGCTACAGGCACGAGCCACCGTGCCTGGCTAATTTTTCTATTTTTAGAAAATGGGGTCTTGCTCTTGCTCAGGCTGGTCTCGAACTCCTGACTTGAAGCGATCCTCCCTCCTCAGCCTCCCATGTGTTAACATTTTTATATGGGGGAAAATAATTAACTGAGGAGATTGCTGTCTTCGAAATGAGTAGACCAAAGGTAACCAAATATACACTGCTGGGTGATTGACTAATTCAACTTGAACCAACTTACTTCCTTCTTGTGTTTGTAATTTTATTGAAACCGTCAAATTTGTGGTTATTTGCAGTTAAAGAAGAGTGCAGCATTTGGAAGATTGGGAGCGGAGAATTGATAAGGCAGAGATTTCTTAGGTTTGTAAAGAAGCCAAATGAAGAGCAGCCAGGGGAGGAAAATAACAAGGTCAGGGGGTTACAGGAGGAGGAAAACGATTACCGGACTGGAAGCTTGCCTCGGAACTCATATATAAGAAAGGTTCTGTGACTGCTCTTCTGTGCAATTAAGGCATGTTAGGAAGAAACATGTTGAAAAAAGCTTATTTTTAAAATATGCCGGCTTTTATAAAAAGACATTGTGCTTTGTAGCTAGACTACAAATTTGTGTTTTAATGGTGTGAATCTATAAGTGCAACGATGTAAACAATAGATAAGTAAATTCTAAGGCTAGTTGGAAATAGATTTTTTTCTTTTTATTTCAATAGCTTTTAGGAGTACAAGTGGTTTTTGTTACATGGATGAATTGTATAGTGGTGAAGTGGGGCTTTCAATGTACCTGTCACCTAAATAGCATATGTCGTAGCTGACAGGTATATTTTGATCCCTCCCCCTCCCTCCTCACAGTTAATTTTTGCCAAGACTACAGGAGCAATTTTTTTTTTTTTTTTGAGACAGTCTCACTCCGTTGCCCTGAGTAGCCCTGAGTGGAGTGCCGTGGTGTCAGCCTAGCTCACAGCAACCTCAAACTCCTGGGCGTAAGTGATCCTCCTGCCTCAGCCTCCCGAGTAGCTGGGACTACAGGCACACACCGCCACACCTGGCTAATTTTTCTATTTTTAGTAGAGATGGGGTCTCACTTTTGCTCAGGCTGGTCTCAAACTCCTGAGCAATCCTCCTGCCTCAGACTCCCAGAGTGCTAGGATTACAGGCGCAAGCCACCGCGCCCGGCCGATTTTTTTGTTTTAACTGTCACATACTGGAGTTTTGTGCCAAGCTCTGTGTATATTATGGACTGAACAGATAACAGAAATAGCATTGGTTGAACAATTAAAAGAGTACGTGAAATTCTGTTCTCCAATTCACCACTTTTTAGTCTTAACGATTCAAGCAAATGTCAGGATTTTTAAAAAATGAGATTGTACTATTGCCTAAAATGTACAAAATGATGCTCAAAGGCTGGGTGTGGTGGCTCACGCCTATAATCCCAGCACTTTGGGAGCCTGAGGCTGGAAGATCACTTGAGGCCAGGAGTTTGAGACCAGCCTGGGCAATAGAGAGACCCGTCTCT